CTAGTTGTGGCCAAGGCTCCTCAAGCAGTATATAACACTTGAGACGCTCTCCAGTGTGTTTAATCATTAGTTTGTATTCTGGCAACTTGCTATCTGACCCGCCAACTGACTCCAGTACATGTGTTCGATATTCGGTGGAGGTCCTGGGTGATGTCCCTGTAGAGCATCCAGAGCAAACTGGGCAGCTCCAGAGGTTCAAGGGAGTGAGCAAGACACGAGCATCCATGGGAGATTTGAGAAGACAATTCGCCTTAGCAGCTGTCTCTAGAGACAAGTAGAAATCTCTGGAGACATACGGTAGCTTGCTGATGTAATCTGATTCGTTGATAAACTAAACTTTCCGGTTTCTGTTGATGATTTATGGTTTCAGTTGTAATCATAATTATATAATTGGATTGATTTGCACCCTTTAGACTACTATCCAGAGGGTACGCCAGTTGCTCGCTTGTTTGTCCTTACTACTCTTGTATTACTCCCAACTTCTCCGCTTGGCCCTGGGATAGATTAATTGCCCTGACGCCTCCTGAATTTGCCAGATCAAGTGCTTTAGAACCTGAGTCACGCATGATGTACCGCTTCCTATATGTCGGTACTCTATTCTCTCCTGGAATACACCTCTCCACGGTACCAGGCTCTAGGATTCACAATTCCCCAATGAGATTACCAAAACATCATTCGGAAGATGATCTCTACTGCCTCCATAGCACCCACGACTGCACCTTTAGTATTGGTCCATTCAACACCGTGATACTCCACCTAATACTCAAATGATATACTATTTAAATATCCTAACTAACCCTAATACCGTATACGGAAAAGAACAAATCCTCCACTATCTGCCTTAGCACTCGCGATTGTTCTACACATCCTACTCTCCCTCCTTTCCTAATCCCTCGCTACAGGTAATCCCGGCTACTCCTCTTACTCCTACCCCTCCTCTTCGGTGTCAATACCGCGAGGTTGGGCATTAATCACTTTGTATTGGGTACTGTCGGAACCAACCCGACCTCCTGAAGCACCCGTGGGTGTTCTTTGAGCATCTTGGAAATCGGCAAGATCCGCAGCCAACGCTTCATCATCCTCGTTAAAACCCTCCTCCGGTAACACCTCAATAGTTACCCCCTTTTTATCTCGTATCTATTAGGGTCATCATTTAGAATACCACTCGCAATACCGGCATCTAGAAGTATCATTCCTTTTCTCAAACATTGTCTTTGATTACCTTCAAGGTGGCCTCCTGGTTCTGTTTATTTCTCACCTTCTAACTGTTGCTCATACTGTTGAACGTTTCTACTCGAGTTTGGATATCAGTTGGGCAATCCCGTATAGCCCTAATAGCTTCCCGCATTACTCCCAAGCCACTCGCCATATCAATGAGTGAATCGGGCCATACTTACTCACAAGACTCTCATTCTTTGACTGAAAATTATCAGACTTCAAGTAGCTCCTTGTGGACTAGGCCCGGTTGCCGTGCTAGATCGCTGTCGATATCAGGCAAATAAGGGTAGGGGTTATGCGCTCTAGGAATTCGGGATCCCTAACTCCTAGCATTCTTACCGCATCAAAGTATTTAAAATACAATATATCGATAATTCCCGTAACGGCTGCTCACAGAGTGCTTGCCAATTCCCTCGTTACTCGGTAAAGAACGATATGTCCGGTAAGTGGGAGACGACCTTCCGTTTCGAGAGTGCATGAAGGAACAATTGATATAGCGCATAGAAGAGGTATACTCATATAGATAAATAAGTGCAGAGCGCCTAGACTGTCAGGGTGTTGGGGGTGCTCTCTGGGGTGCCGGCAGTGCTCTCTGGGATGTCGGGAGTGCTCCGTAGCATGCATTCTGACTGGGTGCTACAGTGGGTGCTACTCTCCTTTGTTTACGTATTACTTTAGCGCCCCGACGAGTTCCTCTCTAAACCGTTAACCACTAATACTAACATGTTGAAGAGCATCGAGGGGCGAGATAGAGTCGAACCTGTACCACGTCCACCGATACGTCAGAAAAAGCAAATACCTCCGCTACCACGGCAGTTGGTTTCCTTTGAGCATTGCCCAGTGCTCTGGCATTGATTGATTGAACTGTATGAGGTCTCTTTCTGACAGTCAGAGACCTCTGGATGGAAGATTAAGGGGAGGGCATGAGGTTCATCCTACTGTTCATCCTCATCCTCCTAAGAGCTCTCATGGCCGTTTATCGGAGTCTCATAATAGTCTGAGTCGCTAGTATCAATTATTTGTTCCACCTCAGGTAACTAAATTGCCTCAGGCTCCTTTTGTGTTTCAAACTTGTCAGTATGATCCTCGGGGAAATGAAATTCTACCCTCCAAGGACTGCTCCTCCCAGTGGAGATTTCGGAAGAACCGAGAAAACCTTTTCATGTTATTTGGGTAACAGTTGTCAATTGACTAGTGCGAGTGCGGGGCTGGCAGTGGGGTTAATAGTCAGTAAGATATCTCACACTCATCAATCTCTTCATCTTCTTCAAGTCGTATTAGGAGTAATAGGCGCTTTGGTACAGGAGGTGCTGTACTGGAGGAGTGCTTGGAGGAAGCCATTTTGATGACTGGTAGGAATATCCGCTGTACTCTACAAGCACTCGCGATATCTTCAATTAGAAATCAATTATTGGCGAGAAGATTTGCGCCGCTGTATTTATATGACAGGGATCATCCGGTGTTACAATTATTTCCGAACTCAACCGAATCATTTATCATCACTCGTTTTACTGCACTTTCTGAAGAGGTACCGGGTACTCTTAAAACAATCTAGGAGTTTGATTCCACTTTGAAATAATAGTAATGCAGTGACTACCTGCACTAATCTAACCACAACATATAGTTCAGCTCTATTCTGGCGTTTGATTCCTGGAGGACAACCCTTAAGTAGATGTAGTAATATCGGGGTGTGTATTGTTCATTGTATGGGGTGTGTTCTGCGAAGATGAAGAATGGTTCATTGTTCAGTTAGATTTGTTCGATGATAGTAGATTGAGTTGATTGAGCTTGTTGGGTTTCGGCGAAATGTGGGGGGGCAAGAATTCCTGTTGTTAGGATTCTCACGAAGCAGAGGTTCAGTACGCCTTGTTGGGAGATGACGGATATCCCGGATCGGTTGGGGGTAGGAGAGACTTGTCAAAGTCTTCTTTTCCTGCCTGCAGTGCTCGGTGGGGTAGAGGGGCGTAAGGGGGTTGTGTATGCCAGGTTATGAGTGTTTTACTCCGGTTACGAAGATTGTTTCCATTTGTTAAACAAGTGGTTTGGGAGGGATAAGAGTTCACAATTCAGGTACCAGAGTGTCAATAACTTGCCGTACAAATAGATATACGATAAGATTTTAGTATATTCTGCGGTCTACTGACACACAGGATCGTGTTCCAAAAAATTTTGTCGGTGTTGTTAGGATTGTAAGTTGTTAATATTATATATAAGAATTTAGTTTATGAGTATATTTGAGAATTTTCTTTAGGTTTCGGGGTTAGCGGCTCTCAGACAAAACTAAGATGTTTCAAAAGAATTCGGTGTGTGGGTCGGAAAAAATAATCCAGTAAGTTACCAGAAGTAATCCATTGCCTTAAAATTTTGAGCAACCCTAACAAGGAGATATATAAAACCAGACTGCAACAATACACAATATGGAATGTCGGTCATGGATCGTCACTCACATATTGGGTTTCAAGTATTGCGAATATCATGGTCCGAGATTGAAATCCGAATTACTGTTAGAAAACACACCCGGGCGGTAAGCTGAAGACCGGAATCCGAGTCGGTGCAATAAAACACACCGGAGTCGAGGAGTGGGATTCGTCCGATGCGGTAACCCAGAGGTCGGAATCCGAAATTCATGTATTCCATCGAAGCGGAGGATGGGGAAACTCGGCATCGTTAAATTTCGAGCTCCGTCATGATCGTGGGCTCGGGGCGGTGCAATCGGTACCATGCAGGCATCGATCGTGGTACCCGACCGGTGAGTGACGGCGCCGGAAGTGCTCCAGGACAGGCCGCCAAGACTCACAGGGAGTTACCCTACCCAACAGCCCCCAACCAACACCTACGCCCCTGCCATCACGACCACGACCCCCTGTACCCACATACCTGACGATGGGGGTGGACTCGGGGCGGCGTATTTAATCCGTAGGCAAGGAATCGGGAATTGTGGGGCGACGGTTCCCGGGCAACCTCAAAATCCTGTCCGACATTCTCTTACTAGAGTTTTTGGGGATGGGGGGGGGCTAACCTCAATCCTAAGTTCACCCCATCTGAAATGAGTATAATTGTTTTTTACTGATGTAGATTTGTTGGCGGTGAGGTGTTGTTGCAAGGGCGGACTATGCATGTGTAGCCTGTGGAGGTGAGGGTTATAGCTGAGAAAGTAGTGAAACCTTGCAAATTTGTATGTATTCCAGGTGCAAACGCTTCACGACGCTTGTTCTAGGAGGCAAAAGCAAGTCAACTGTACGTCCCCTATATATCAAAGGAGTTGTGTGTGAAGGGGACTGTATGGCATATAGAACTGCATACTATAGGGGTCTCCGTGATTTTGGGGATGGGGGGGGCTAACCTTAACCCTAAGTTCACCCCATCAGAAATGAGTATAATAGCACATTGCAAACGATCCCATCAAGTATTCATTTTCATTGAAACCAACAACAAAGCCCACCGAAACAAACAAAAGATAGAATCATCAAAACAAAGAGAATCAATAGAACGAAGATGTAGATAATTGATATCAAGATAGTAGCCGACGGCGAAGTGGTTCCTTTGCCCGCCCCGGGCCCCCGAAAAGCCTCAAAAGTGGGGCCAGTAATCCTCCCACGGCGTGCTATCAAAAGAACCCCAAGGCAGACTTCTAAGACTCAGGAAAGACTCTATGAGTAGATATACTCGCCCAAAGATAACGGCCAGGGTCAAGATGGTTACAACGGGGACCACGAACGCGCGGAAGAATAGACGCCCAGGGACCTTACGCATAAAGAGTGTGAATATATGGTAAAGAGTGTGACGGCCGCTGTTGTGCAACGAATAGGCAAACAAACAGTACCCGGGGAGAACAGCAATCACCACCGAGGACAAGCGCCAAAGTAAGCATTCCACGGGTGATGGAAAATGGGTATTCCAAGCAGCTGCATGGCAGCCGCCGTATGCAAGTATGATGAAGATGGCAGGAAATGCGTGCGAGACGTGTGTGTCGTCCAAGGCGAGCTTGGCGTCGCCAAGGGAGACGAGTGGCATTAAGTCCACCAGGGGCAATGCAGGTCGCCTGCCAGCGCCGATAGCTTGAGCAGCATGTGTGTAAAAGCTGAGGGCTCCATAGGGCATACGGATATCGTATTTCTCTTTTTTGTGCCGCTTGGGAAAGCCGATACGTATATGGACGAGATCAAGCACGTGCTCGTATGGCACTACTAAGCGTGCAGGGTCATCGTCCTCATCGTCATCGGGGGCTTTTTTCTTATAACCAAGAAAGAGGACACTCGTTGTCGTGGGTAAAGGCTGGACATCGTGAATCTCATCGTCTGCAGCGCGTCAAGTTAGCCCCAACCAGCAAAACATCCCCCCCCCCTTTTCCCCCCGGCACGACATGTATTACCGGTTCTGTCTCGTCTGAACTCGTTGAACTCCCCCACCTCAACCTTCAGGCCGGTGTACTCGTTGTTGTACCATTTCTGGTTATACGCAACCTCCACGAGATTCTGCGTTCGGTCACCGTGAGTAATAACCGAGATCGGCTCGCCTACGTCCTGCGGCTTGTTCAACCAGAAGCCGTACATTCCGACGGCACAGACGACATGCATCGCGACATGGATCTCTAGGAGGGTAACGGGGAGACCGCCGGCCTTGCGCACAATGCACTGCATAAGCATCCACAGTGCCTGCAGACACGCCAGGGTCTTGCCCAGCATCTCCGCTTTCGCCTTGTCCTGCACATCGAGAAAGTGTATGAATTCTTTCTTTAGGATTCCTTCCTCCGGAGACTTCTTGGCCGGTTCCCCTACCCCCCCAGGTTCCGGCTTCGCCGAAATGAGCCTCTCCAGCTCGGACCCGTCCTCGACCTCCGTCCTGGTCGCCTCAATAACCTCCAGGCTGACCCCCGTCCGACTCAGCTTGAGGTAACCGTCCGGGCTGACAGTATTGTGGATCGATGCTGGTATCGTGCGCGCCGGTACGAGTGACACTCCGCCCATAGTCACGAAAAATGCACCCTGCATGCGAAGGGTGTCCCCCTTACTGCCGGGATCTACACCATAAAACTTACACCAGTTCCGGTGGAACCTTCGCGCCTCCCGCCACTGGCCACTGGCGATTGCCAGCACAACCTCCGGGGCCAACATCCCGAGGATGACGAGGAGGAGTTTATGCACTACCCTCCGCCTGGACGAGACACCCGGCCTGATGTTCGGATGAATGGCTGTCCAGACGCATAGGGCAAGAGTCAATACGGAGCTCGAGAGGATGCTGAAGGTCCCCCGCCCTCTCGGCTCCTTTTTCCAGCCCGGGTCGGCGACGGGGGTGGCGGGGGTGGTGGTGCCTGGAGTAGGAGCCGCCAGGGAATATGCAATCTGCCAGGCGAACGAGGCGAGGAAAGCCGCGTTGGCCATCACACTTTGTGCTTGTCGGAGCAGAATTCAAAGTGCGACTACTATACTTTATTGCGGGGAAGAACTTGAGCACTATTAGCACCTAGCCCGATCACACCCCTATACGGCTATACGCCAGGCGGGATTTTGCAGAGGTGGGATACCGAGATACGCACCGGCGGAATGCTGTAAGCCCCTATAGCGCTGGTTTGTAGATCTTCGGTTGCCTGGGTTTGTTGCAATTAGTACACGGCCTCAAGGACTACCCCACAACTTGGGTGGGACTAACATACCTTGAAGGATTACTCAGTTTGAGATTGATGGGATTTCGACGGCCGAGAGAGAAAGCTGGATAAACCTGGATAGGGACCCAGTGATTATATGCTTGACCCCGCATCTGTTGTGGGCGCTCCAACAACCGGCATAATCACCATGTCGATGACCCATATCCTATCCCCTACCTGCTCTATGAAACACCTAGAGAGCTTCTCTCGTGCATTAGCACGAATTGGCAATCTCTGGTTTTTGGAAACGTCTGAAGGTGTCTAATTCCACCCAGATAGGTCTGTGCAGGTCAGTCCCCGCGAGAACGTGGCCAACATTTGAGCGATAGATCTGGCTAGGGGCCCTAGATCCTGCAATCATGATAGGGCGGCTATATTGGTTGGTCCAGCAGGACAGATCTTAATTGACCACTAACAAGATTTCTTTCGCGCGCATAAGAACCTATTCAGCTGACATCCGAGTACTGTCCCGGCCAGTGATGTTGAGAGGTCAGGCATCAGATGTGCCTACATACCCCTACTCACCTCCTACCTACAGAAGTGGTCGAATTAGGCACTACTTTACTAGGTGTCGAGTTAGGCGTCGATTTGGGCGTGAATAGATGTCAAACTTGGAGTCTACGTTAGCATAGGTGTCAGAATATGAAGGCAGGTAGGAGGGGCAGAGGTAGAGGCGGAGGTGGACGGAAAGGTAGAGATGGAGGTGGAGGTGGAGGTGGGGGTGAGGGTGGTGGTGGTGGTGGTGGAGGCGATCTGGGGATCCCCACACCGCGCTAGTTCTGGATAATCCTAGCGTATATGTAATATATCACTTTCTGTCAATATATCACATTTCCAAGACGGAAAAAGATAATCTATCACTTTTGAACAAGACTACAGTCGCAACGCACCTCTTATCCCGCTATTTATTTTATTTTTGAAATAAACCACCAAAAACTGTGTTGCAACCACATTACATGAGCCCAAAAGTCTTCAACAATTAGTCTTCAACAATCACCACAATGCCAAGCCCATCCCCTGACATGGTAAACATTCTTTCTCATCTGAGGTTCAGAGAGCTAGTTGCAGACCTTACCGGCCTCACCAACACCAATTTTCTATCCTCTCAAGCTGCTGATATGTTCAAGGCCGAAGCCACAACTCACACCGAGTATCACCTCCTCACCCTCATGCTTGTGATGGTCAATCAAAACGTCATTCTCCAAAAACAAATAGAAAAACTCAAAGATGAGTTTGAGGAGTTCACCACCAAAAACGTCAACAAAGCAAATCAACCACGAACAGCCTCAAAAAGATCAAAGAACGCCTGACCACCCCCACCACCGCCAACCCCTGTCCCCGTCCCCGCAACCGCAGTCAGCGTCCATACCGGTATCAAAATCCTGATTCCAAACCCCATCAAACCCCACCCCTCGGCCATCTGCTCCAAAATTCTACCTTCAAGCCACTCAAGAAAACCTCCAATAATGGGAAACTATCCCTAAAGGCAGCCGAAAGAAACCCACCACCATACTCAATAAACCAAAATACACCCCCATCTTTCCAGCATATGAACGCTGTTTCTACACCACCAGATCCTCCCCCACCTGTTTGGGGAAATGGCAGTGCTAAGCGATAATCCTATAGCGTTTAAACTGATGATATTGTAAACCAGATTCTTTTGACTTTATGGTTGATGATTCCCGCAAGTCGTCGCGGAATCCTACCATATTTATACATGATGGAACCTGTAACAAGGCCCGCTTTCTAATACTAACTGATACAACCATAATAGAATTACATAATGCTCCCGAAGAAAACCAAGATAGAAAATCGCCACCACATAGTTCCGTCCTCCATTCTGATCCCGACATGTAACTGTAAACCTTGCAATTGATAGACATCGAGCTGTATTATACTATTGTCCTATACCTACTTCCATAAGTAGAACAGCCTGCAGCCGTAAGCCCCGCTCCTATTCTATTTTCGGGTCAGACACCCAATAGTAAGCGTGCTGTCACAATAGTATAGTACTAGTGTGGTAACACCACGTGCCCCCACGACACCCGATACCTTTCTAAGCTTGTCTTTTCGTTACCCGACCGTCCTCGAATCACATCCCGTCACTTGTATTCCTCACTATCCTAAAACTCTAGGACAGTGTTCCGTAGTTCCTGTAAGACCACCCCCATTCATGCCACTGAGGGAATAGCTTCGGAACTCTCCGTCAAATTTTTTTTTTTCTAGCCTGCAGCAAACAAGTCGCATCAGTAACAGCCCTTATAGTCTCTATAAGTGTAAGAGAAACAGGGACAATCCTTCCTCCGGCAATCTTCCCCTCCTCAATTTACACACATTAGTTCGAAGCCATGATAACCATATTGAAAAATAATCTCGCAACCCCCAAAAACCTTTATTTTAAATTTCGGTCAGCCCCCATATATGTAGATATCGCTATATACAGCGTCCCCCTCTTTGCTCTCGCAGACAAAAAGACCCTAGACAGCACTTTCTCTGAAGTTTTCAACCTGTCCTCTGGCATCACCCCAATCGCCACCAAATTCCCCAACAAAAATGACGAATCTCGCAACTCCAAAGCCGCATCAACGATCATGCTCACCCTCTCCTCAACTGATTCCTCATCCATCGGAAAGGCAATTTGACTATACTCCAGACCATACCGATCTGAGGTCATGTGGTCCGCTTCCCCTACCACCCAATGCACAAAATGTTGGAAATTCAGCCAAACAGTAGAAGGATGCCACAAACCCATCAAAAACTGCCCAATTTGTACAAAATAGCACGACCATTACGGCCACCTATGTATAATCTATACATGCCCAGGCTTCCAGAAGCCTACGCTATCCTGATTCGAAGTCTTACAAGAAAAATTCTCGAATTGGAAAGGCAAGCACCTGGCTGACTCCAAAACATGCCCAACATACATTGTTATCCTGAATAGAAACAGGACAAGTGAGACCCCTAACTCTACAATGCCACCTACAGAGAATACCCATAACTATCCCACACCCCCCATGGACATTGAATCAACTATGGACTACCTCGCAAACAACACTACACCGCCCTCACACAATCATGAATATCATAACGGATAACACAACAGACTCATCCTTGCTCCGAATCATACAGCACAAACAGCAACCAAATTTTCCTTACCCTCTTTTCAATACCATTGATACATCAAGCACACATCATAACAATTCAGGAACCACCCCTAATAAATAGGAAATCCCCCGACGTCCCCTGCTTTACCCTACTATACTCCTCCCCTAAGAGGCCAGAGGTTAAATATCCACTTGCCTATACTTCAACTCCAGTATCATAGATAGAAACTCCTTCGCCGGCCTCCCATCACATAGAGGGGATATCATATCAATAAACCTAATCTGCTCCACCAGCAATAGGACTCATACAACCATAACCATAACATGCATCTACAACATACAGCTAAATAGATCCTCCCGCTCACTATCCCCATCAAATATTTTCAACACATCTAAAAACCTTAAAGTGGTCATAGGAGACTTCAACATCTACTACCCCTCCACTGATTCCCTCTGCGCCCTCTCCAATCGAGAACTCAACCTCTCCCAACAATATTTTGAAGAAGCAACAAGATGCTGTTTGCTCCTCAGAAACATACTAAGAACCTACACTAGCCTATCACCTGAGCACTACAAGAGACATAGTGTGATCGACCTCACCTCCCCAAACACAAAAGCTTCTACCCTGATCAGAAAATGCTTCTACTGGCAAACACCTCAGAGTCTGATCACAGAATCATCTTTATTTTTATGTGCCTCCCCTCTACTAACTTCCTACCATTCAAAGAACTCAACTGGAAACTTATAGACTGACTCGCTCTCAATGATGACCTAATGCAATTAAGGATCCCCCCCTGTCCCCTACCATCAATGATAGACTAGTTTGATTAGTCACTCGTCACCATCCCAGACCCAATGAAATCTACACACCCACAAAAACAATATCCAAATAGTCTAAACCATCGTGGAACCCAAATTTCACCCAACTATGAACCATCTTCTACTCCATGAAAAGGGCATACCGGAAAGGATAGGCCCAACCCTTTGAAATCGGTACTGCAAAGAACGAATACTTGAATGCTATCAAAAAAGCAAAACAAGAATACTGGAACTTATACGCATCCAACGCCAACTCTCAAGACATCTGGAGACTACAGAAAATGGCAACCAGAACAGAGGGCCGTCTCCCAACCATCACCAAATCACCTACCACAATCCTCCTCAATACCAACCTCATCAACGCCTTCCCCCCGACATGAACGGAAGCCCACTCCCCAACCCCATCACATATTTCGGCATGATAACAATAATACCCGAAGAGATCTAAATGGTCCTCAACTCCATATCCAACCTCTCCACCCTAGGCTTCGACAATATGCCATATAATATATAGAAGGGAATACAAAGGGGAAACCCGCTCATCATTACCTAGCTCTTAAACCCGCTACTCTCAAATGGCTACCACCCACTGTTACTCAAAAAAGCCAACGGAGTAATGGTAGCAAAACCGGGGAAGCCAAACTATTCATCACCCTCAGCATACCGAATCATCGTCATACTACAGACTTTCTCCAAAATCCTGGAAAAAATAGTCAACCTCCGCCTTGCTAAAATAGCTACTGCAACAGGCCTAATACACGCCCACTAATGCGGATCAGTTGCCGGTCTCTCCACCACTGACGCTGTCACCACCCTACTACATGAGACAAAAGCCATGCAATTTGCCAAACTAAAAGTCTCCATCCTCTTCCTCGACATAAAAGGAGGTTTCGACCACATCCTGAAACAAACACTTGCCCCCCTCCTCTCCTCCAAAGTGGTTCCACCTAATATAATCAACTGACCCTAAACAATTCGCCAACTCGCCCACCGCCCCTGCTTGTCTTTGTTCCTCTGGGACCTCTCCGTTGCCTAGTTGCAATGTAACCCGCCTCACCCTCTCCGCGCCCTGGACCTCCAAGAACAGACCCAAAAAACCCCAGAATGCGTCTGCCTTTGCTCCCCGCACAGCGAATGGAATGATGTGAGCAACTTCGAGGGAGGGTCCCACTAAGGATGTCAGTACGCAGGCGTTGGCATCACGGGTGAGGGTGGAAGCGCGGACGGTGGCGGAGCGCCCTGAGGGGTTACTAGGGCGGGTGTGGGCAAAATCGATGGCGGCGGGGGTGCGAGTAGGCGTCGCGGGATCCGGACTCTGCGTAGGAATCGGGGAGCGGGCAGACTCAGGAGAAGAGGGCCAGACGGGGCGGGAGACCCCCCAACACCACTGAAAGCCCTGAGTGCAGCGGTAATCGTGTCCGCCTACAGCACCAACTCCCGCCCGGACACCGCCCCCCGCGCGAGCCTGGTTAAAAAGCGCCCCTCCGTTCCGTTGCCCTCCCAGTCCGCGGTCGGCAGGTGCGCCACAAATGCTGTCAGCGCGCTCGTCAACGATGCCCTCATCTCGCCCGTGAGATCCTGCGTGTTCTCCAGCGCCAGATTTCGCATCGCACTGTCGTACAGCACATGGGTAGGGGTTGGCAGGGTTGGGATGAGGCTGTGCAGGAAGGCCACAAACTGGCTATCACTGGGGGGCTCGTTCTCGGCATGGGGGGGCGCGGGTTGTAAAGTGGCGGCAGCGGGAGGGCGAAGAAGAGCGACTGTGACGCGGTGGTGCTGGGCGTACCCGCGCTCTGGGCGCGGCTGGGGCGGCGGCGTTTGGAGGATGGCATAGTGGGCAGGGGCGGGAGTGGAGCCTGAGGGGGAGGCATCGTAGAGTCTCCTGTGTCTGTCTCGGTGCCAATGGGGTGGGCTGTGTCCGGGGGGGGCGGTGCGTTTGGGCGGCATTATAATAATGGTGTTGGCGGTGTTGTAGTTGTGGGAGAAGAGAGGTCTCAGACTGTCTTCCTGTAAGACCGAGATGAACGCCAGAACAACCACACATAAGGAAAAACATCGCTAATTTCTTGACTGTCTCTAAATATACCAATAATCACTGATTGTTGGAGGGATGGTAGTGGAAAATGACGAATTTCGGGCTTGCAAAATCGAGTAATTTTTTGTGCTCGGTTGCTGTGTGCTCTCATGGTCGCGACCTGTCTGCCCCTTACAACATTTCAGAGGGTGTGGCTTTACCTGTGCCTCAGCGCTGTCATGGTTATATGCGCGTGTTGAGACAAAATCTAAGACCATACTGCTTGACCGCTCGAGTACCGCAGCATGGAAGGAAAGCACCACCGAACCTTCATTCAAACCCAAAAAGCAACAAAAGACAACAGGGAAAACAAAAAACGGAAAACACTGCAGTGGAGTAGAAAAATAGGTTTTGACCAAAGAATGAACATCTAGAGGTTCGGCACTTCGTCAGGAGTCCGAAAAGTATGATTCTGAGCGCTGATTCTGGCCGCCTACTAAGAGTTCAATAAGCATGATTCTGAGCATGATTCTGACCACTGACTAGGCGTAGGTGTACGTCGAAAAGCATGCATTTGATGCAGAATCATGAGCTATCACTCGAACGACATGGCGACCCTGACGACCTACCAACACGGCGACACGGCGACATTCTGACCTACCGACCTGACGACCTCTGTGCTTGGTAGGTGCTTTCCGGGGGCAGAAATCACACGGCATCGTGTCAACTACTGGCAGAGAGCTTCCGCTGCATGCTGCTCGACGAGATCCTCGAGGCGCCCGAGAACTCGTGGTGGGGTTCAACACGCTGCTTGCCGGGATGGGCGTGGCGTTAGGGGTTGGCGGTAGGCCGATCCCGCGTGTCTAACGGGGCGGGCTTGGGGTCAAGGTTAGGAAGCGGGTTCGACTTCGGGATACGCTCAGGCTCTGATCGGGACTGGGCTTAGGCACGGATTTGGGCTCACGATGATAGGTGAACGAAGAAGTGGATACTACCTGAATTTAGACATGTAGAATCAATCAACTAGTTAGATCTAGATACAGACGTTGTTGGCCGGTTTATTGTGATCAGTCTCTTTTCGACGACAATACGAATTTAGAGACAAATCAAAACTTTTCGACTAAAGCCAGCAGGAGCATGTATATTGATAATGACTGAGAGGAAAACTAGCTAGAGGTTGCCACCTAAACAAAAAAAATAGCGCCAGCGCTAGAACTACGTTTCCTCCTCAGGGCGCCTATCCAGGCTAACCCGCGCGTATCTGTATTACTAATACCTGATAATCTGCCCGACAACGTGGAGAAGAAGAGATTGCGTGGGGAGCAGAAGGTAGAAAGAAAGAGAGCTTTATATACATGTCGCGCCTAGCACCCTGCGAACCCTAACCCTAGTGCCTAACTGCGCGGCTAACGTCACTACTACTAATCGCGCGTTCCTGACCTCACTATTAGTCTATTACTTTATATTCTCGAGACATCCTCCGCGTGCCCGCTTGTGCCCGCCGCACTCTGATAGCATCCTTGCCACTATCTCCGCGCGCCTTCTGTTCTGGCGTCACGCCTACGGAGCAATCGCACAGGCGGAGGTGGAGGCGGAGTCGAGAACGGAGGTGGTGGAGGCGTGCGTGGGCGGGTGGAGGACGGATAGTTGGGGGAATGAGTATCACCATGAGGGCCTCATCTAGTTCTTTTTCTGTTTATTTGGTCGAGGCTTTTTTTTCTTGTGTTCAATTGTGTGCTGACTGGCTGTCGTTGGGTGGTATTCTAATTATTTGGGCGTGTATGTAGGCTTGTGGCTAGGCATTTTTGTTTATTTATTTATTTACTCGCGCGTTAAATAAGTCCTGAGGGGTTTTGTGGGGTCGTTGCTACCAAGAATTCTCAGAACTTAATTAACGCATGAGTAGTTGGTTATTTATATCCATACATGTTTGCTGCAGTGCTATATATGGGTGACTCGATACTTGTAAATGCTTCGATGGTGATCATTACCCCCTCTTCCGCGCACAGTCGACAACCTCCCCGCCACTGGCAATGATGCACACAGATTGGTATATACAGCGAGGGGTCTAAAACCATTGTCTAGATCTGTCTGGCTGTAGCTAGGCCTCCTTCTGTACTTCTACTTAACTCTTTCTTCTAATATCTCTTAATGTGCTGAAGACATCCATACTTCGTATACTTCCGAACGTATCCATGAAATGGTACAAGCAAGGAGTGGACAAAGTTGGATGTAATATATGTTAGTCATGGGTGGTGTTGATGAGGCGAACAAATTCTACCCCCGCCATACAACACAAACCACGACCCAACAACCCAAATCTTGAACCAAACAGCAACAATGCCGGCAAACTGTGATTGGAGCCATGAGGACCATGGATTCACGGGTAAAATACGATTTTAAGTGACTTCGAAACGGGCACTTGTCCACTGCACACCTGCTGTTTATGTTTAAAGCCCTATCCCCCTGATGATCTTTTTTGTACCATAGAGATATATGTTCTTTTGGTAATATGAAAGAAAAGTCCAATCGGTGCACGAGCGCCCAGGAAGAATGCAAAGATGTTCATTCGGTCACTGTACCCATTGCCCCCGTACACACCCGCAGCCCGCCCCGCGGTCTGCAATGGCACCACCCCACTTGACACCAAACAGGACTCTTCCACAAGAGAGTTATAATTATGAAACAACCCCACTCAGATACTCACACCAAAGAATAACAACACACCTGCTCCTTCGCCCCATGCCCGCACCGCCGGACCAACCGATCATAGCTGTACTCCGATACTCCGCCGGCCGTTCAAACCCCCGAGCGGAGATGATATACACGTACAACTATCTCCCCAGTCTCCCCAGCAATCAGGAGCGCACTAAGGTCGTCGGAGACACCCTTCAGCACCCCCCCCCCCCAATGTGCTACTAGTCCTCTGGCCGAACGTACGCATCCCAGGGAGCTATCGGTCTTGGGCCACGGTCCATCAACAGCTCCATCGTCTCCTCCACATTCCCACCCCTCGGCACCTCGCCGCTTCTCTCCCTGGCAATATCCACCAGCATCCGCTCCACCCTCCCCCCACGCACCGTGGCCACCCTGCCCGCGCCACATCCAGCAGCCACTTTGCTAGCGCCTCATCCCCATCGCGCACAGCATACTCTATTCACGCCGCTCCATGCGCCGGCTTCATCCCCGCAACCCACGTCCCGACGATGCATCTCCTCCGCGCCCCAGGGTCGCGGTCGGCGGGCATGCGGGGGGGCGACGGGTACGGGGTGTAGCTCATATCGGTGGCGCGGATGTCGTGCGCGAGCGCGAGGGTCATGGCGCGGTCGAGGATGGCAGGGCGCCTAGCCGGTAATGGGGGCGGTGTTGCCGGCGAAGCGCGGCTGTAGCTCGCGCGCGAGGAGGCCGTGCGGGACGTGGCTAGTGTGGGTGAGAGTGGAGAGGGCGATGGTGTGCGCGTGCGTGCCGGAGCAGGTGCTCGGGGGTGGGGTGGGGTGGGGCCGGCGGGCGTTAGTGCGTCGATTTCGGTTTCGGGCGCGGGCGGCGGCGGGGCGGGGTCTGCGCACGCCATGGTGGTGGTGGTGGTGATGTTGAACCTCCAGTTGGTATATAGGGTCTATAACCCCGCGTCGTTGTGTTGACCGGTGAGCGAGCTGCAGAAACTTGCACTGGACAGAGCGAGACTCTACAATAGCTATCCTGTGACCTATTCAGATGCGTGCGCTTCAGGTCGAGTTCACCCCAGAAACATATGTGCAGCAGAGAATATCACACGAGGTCTGACATATTACGGTCATCCTGCAGGTCGTGCTATCTCTCAGATCACATCTCTCTTTGGCCAATCCTCTCCCAGTCACCTCTGCATAATACCGTGGGCCTGACTGGCATTGAGAGTGAGTGGATGCCTGAATACACACATACATACCTTGATCTTGTCGCCGTTGAGGTTTTGTTTGTTTCCCTATCCCTTTCGCTCTTGCCCAGCGAGAGATATACACACCCTGCGCTTTCCTCCGAAATAGGCCCTTTCCCCCAAAAGGCTTGCGCTCCCATCGACTAACCATATAAGTAGAATTTACTATAGAGCCAGCTCTCTCTGCGCAAAGATCCTAATAATATGTCTCAGTCTCCTCGTGGTTATGTGACCGAGGTGGTTTTTAATGCGCGTGTCCATGATCTCGAGGTGAGGCTGGCCGTGCTGGAAGGAAGGTCTGTCTGCTTCCCATATCATTGCACCCCCCTCCCCTCTCCCCCGGCGATGGTTCTTTTCTTTTTCTTCGGTCGCGCGTTTTTGCTCGTTCTGTGTGTTTTAATAATACCAATTTTAACATACCGAAACTTTTCCCTTTCTTTACAGGGCCCATCCCACATCTACTACTGATGATACGACACTCGCATCGATGGCCCAGCAGCGCGACGCCGCCATCCGGGAGTGGGAGGCAGCCCGCGCCGCCACCACCACCGCCCTGTCTGCCCACGACGCCGTGCGCCGAGAGAGGGACATCGCTGTCAAGGAGCGGGACACCGCCCGGCGCGAGCGGGGCGCTGCTCTCCAGGAGCGGGACACCGCCCGGCGCGAGCGGGGCGCTGCTCTCGAGGAGCGGGACACTGCCCGATGGGAGCGGGACGCGGCTCAGGCCACTTTGGGCCTCCGTTCTGCCGTAACTCCGAACATGGTGGAGCAGTACGATCGTATCAAGGATAGGTTGGGCCGTCTCTACCAGGGTACTCAGGTCGGGGAGGAATGGAAACAAAGGCAGGAAAATGAGCTTGACAATATACAGCGTGCTTTTACGAACAACCACCGGTTGATGGCAGGTTCCTTGTAATACTCGTAATGTTTGTTTTCACTTGTTTCGATTCTTTTTTCTTTTTTTTTCTTTCTTTCTTTCATGATTTCTTCAAGCTGTACGTACACCTCTCTCTTTGTCTTTGTCTTTGGTTTCTGGTTCTGTCTCTGGTGTCTCATCTGCGTAAGGTTTTTTTAGATCAATTAGTTCACATTGCCTGTCACCGGAGCATCCGGAATCGCGTTCATTGATAAGAGATTCGTATGCTATTGCCGGGTGATAAAAGTAACCGTGATTTTGCGTAGCAACCAGCAAAAATTGCCCAAACCGACCAACTCCGAATATCGGTTCTCGAGATTTATACCCAAGGGATAGGTTCTATCAATCTAAGGATTTCTAATTAAACAATCCCTTATTCATATCTATTACCGTTGTGGAGTTATACTTGTTCACGTTTCAAGACGCATTCCCATACAAAATCTGGTTGCAATGTAAAATCACGGTTACCTTTGTCACCCAGCTATACACTCAACTTCGCCAGCTAGCCCTCCGCATCCAAGGTCATTTTGAGAATATCACTGCCTACCTTACCTGCATCGGGCATTAACCTGTAGTCCTCGGTATCCCTTAGCTATGTCGGCAACATGTTAAATGCCATTTTGCCACAAATTAGGCACTCTTCGATTCCCCTCGCTGTCTCCGCCAATGAAATGATGACATCATTCCCGTTTATGAGAGTCACAAGTAGAATGCTGGCTGGTTCTGATATTTCTTCAGCCGATACAGCAGAGGATCAAACAGTTATGATTAGTGCTGGCCGGACCTAGTCTTACTCCCCCGATTCCGCTATTAATCAATTCTTATAATGGGGGCAAACTTTGTAGATAGGTAGAATCGTAGCGGTTAAGAGAACCCCCCTGCCACAGCGATAGTATTTAAATAGCATCGCTCAATTTGCTCAACCAGAAGCTGCCCTAGGGTAAATGGCCGCCTCGGTCCTGGTGTCTTGCACAACTTCGACGAGGAATTGCGGCCATGACGATGATGAATAACAGCATCGCGCAACATGCTCAACCTAAAGTTACTACAGGACAAATGACCACCCCAATCACAATGACAGAAACCAATCTCGCACACAACCTCGACCAAAAACGTCTGCCATAGCGATCATGAAAAACAGCATCGCGAAACCTACTCAACCTGAAGCTGCCCTATGGCAAGTAGCGGCCCTGATCACGACAGCAGAAATCAATCTCGCACAACATCAAACAGGAACTGCTGCCATGGCAATGGTAAATAACAGCAGACTGGCTGGGGGGGGGGGGGAAGCTACCTCCTATTGGTTGATGGGGTGCATGTTAATGGACGGCGGTGCTCTCTATGCGAGTTTCATGGATCGATTGGTTAATACGCTGGGTTACGAAGAGTTGGATTAGTTAGAAAGATTCTATCAAGTTCTTTTGGGTTCCGTCAGTTGTAAGGGTGTGAGTAACTATTGATTTGTCATCGCTAGGATTTCCTTGAGTATATTAGAGGGGGCTTCCCCCTAGCTCCTGTTCTCTCTTCATTCTTTCTTTTGATACGCAACGTCCTCTGTCCTTTGCAATACCAAAACTTTCGAACAACAATACTTTTGGCTCGAACTTCCGATAAAACTTTTATTCGAACACGATCCTGTATATCAATAGACTGCGTAATCGATTGTTATTTTATTGAACATCTGTTCGTACGCGAAGTTATGCAAGCCCTGGTCCCTGAGTTGTAAAAACCCACCACCACCCGACCGCTAAGCGAGATATACAAACTCACGACCGTAAAACAACGAAATGGCCTCGCCAATAAATCCCATTCCCCCAAACTTCGCAGGAAGGAAAAGAACTCTTTCAGAAGTCTCCCCTGCCACAAACTGATCTGGAATATCTATTATATCCCAACAAGCATCCCTGAGCTACATCAGCAAGCTCGCCTATTATCCAGGGCGCAGCCCCTACGTCCTGGCGCGCATTCTGCGCCACGAGCGCCCAGCGCTTCCGGCACCGCCAGAGTACAACCTTCACGCCAGGCTCCGCCGTAGGACCGTCCCACTCTCTGCGACCGCCAGGAGATATGGCTCACGTCCGGAGGTCACTCGCCAATGCTCTGGTCGCCTGAGCTGCCATGAGATTCCCTCCCCCTCCGGAGACGCTAGGATGGAGTGACTCCGCCCACAGCACCTAGGAACTTTTGCTTCTTTTGATTACGTCAGTAGTACACGCGAGCACTTCCCAATGCTCTCACAGTTTTCTTGAATGCTCTCACGGCACGACGAATGCTCTCACGGCAAGGCGAATGCTCTCACGGCACCGCGAATGCTCTCACGGCACCGCGAATGCTCCCGCGAATGCTCCCGCGAACGCTCCCGCGAACGCTCCCGCGAACGCTCTCGCGAGGGCTTCCACGAGTGCTCCCAGAGCACTCACCAATGCTCATAGAGCTGAGGCATTCGTCATACCCACTCAAGGTGAGGCAACCCTCATTTGGGCTCCTTTGGATTGATACACCGTCCTCAAAGGATAGGAAGGCCGCACCAGTCCCTCAAAAGATATCTAACGTGGGTATCCTCAACGCCGCTGTACGGTCAGTCGCGGGATACTGATACGAGCACTGTCCTGTATACTGGTGACGACTACCCAACCTTTGACGGACGTGTATGTTTCTGTCGATTCGTGAAAGGCATAATTAGCCTTGAGGTTGAGGCCATGGTACGGCTCGTCTGAAAAGCTCAATGTCCATGCATAAGCAGCAAACATGGACTGGCATTGACCTCCTGGAGTGAGCTTGCTGGATAGCCAGACTCAGATACTGAGCGGCCGAAACTTTACCTCCTTCTTCCAATCCGCATGCATAGCAGAACGACACGAATTTTGAAATAGAGAGTCCAATTGGGTCTAACATTCCTAGAGCACTCAAGAATGCCCTCACGGCTTTACAAGTATTCAACTAAATTCATTCTACGTACGCAAGTCTATCCTAGTATTTACCAACCAATTACCAGTCTCCACTTCAAACAAATGGGCCATTCCCAATATACTCCGAATATTAACGACCCACATCTTCTTCCTCCTCCTCCTACAAACCTTCAGGAGCCCATGTGAGCTATCAGCGATACCACGATCCTTTGCCTCGAGTAGCTCCACTATAAATAGTCTATGTGCTCGCCCCCCACTGTCCCGCAGCTTGAACAAAGCCTCGACACGTCCTGGTAAGCGTCCCCGAAACACTCCCCACTCCTCTGAGGACGCTACCGACACCCATACCCAATCCTTTCTTATTTTCCCTTTCCTAAAAGCCGCGTTTCCCGTACACCTGATATTGTGAACCTCGTACACCTCAGGTCTTTGGAAGATTGGTATCGGAACCTGCAAACATGTGAATATCTCCACCCGGCGCTCTAAAATGCTCTCAGAGCTTCCGGCAAAGCTTTGAGAGCATCCCGCATCCTCTGCATACTCCTTTATCAGGCGATATAACGTGGTATGGCTTATTTGCAGTCCATCCGCAATATTGAAAAGTCTTTCCGATTTCGTGGAGGGGTTGCAAAGACGCCTTAGAGGCAGTCGGCCTTCTACTATGGATCGTTCATTTGGTGTTTTTTTCCGGTCTTCGATTTTAAAAATCTCAAGTAACTCCTTCAGGTTATCTCGATGGCTCCAAAGGATGTCGTCAGTGCTCTCAGGACCTCCAACAATGTCTTTCAGATTCAGCATTCGAATCTCTAACGCCAACCGCCGCCCCCCATAGTCCAGTATCTGCGTTGCAGCATCGACCTTGTTGGATGCTCCGTATGCCTCTTTTATCTGACGTATATGGGCGAGTTCCCTGATGTCGGTGGAGTACTGGGGAATGCTCCCAAAGCGTTCGACATGTTCCCGAGAGTGCGTTAACACGTGCAATTTGATGAAGTTGAAGTGAGACCTTTCCCGTATCTCGCGAATCTCCTCCAAACCTCGCTGAGCGCTCTGGGAGCCTGAGGTCTTCACAGCTTTTGTCCGATCTCTCACATCCTTAACCGTCCTTTTGTACGCCTGGAATTCTAAAAAGATATCCTTGTGCTTATGGAAATCCTCGAGATAGCTCTCCATATAATTCAGTGTGCTCGTCGTATGACTCCCATACTGCGCCATTAAGTGGAAGTCGATTAAGCCTCGTACACATTTCAATGCCTTTGCGAAGTCGCCCCTGACAGCCACCCCCGGGTTTCTCAAAGCAGCCGCGAGTGCTCCAAGAACGACCCGCCCCAGATTTCTCATCTCCTTCCCTTGCCATTGGGTTGTGGCACGATATGCCTTGTTTGGTACTGCCAGTCCAGGGTAAGGCGCAATTGAGGCCCAAGCTTTGTCAAATTCCTCCAATCGATTGTGCTTCTTCAAGAAAGCCTGAACCCACTCCATCATGTGCTTCAACATCCCTAGGTAGATATTGTGCAGAATGTCCGGTTTGTTGAGATCGTATGGATTAACCCTCGGCATACCCCAGAAAACATTGAAGAGTGTCTTTACTGATCTCGCGGCAAGGTATTCCACCGGTCCCAGGTTTCCCGGGTTCTCCCTGAATAGCTTTACCCTCTACCGGTAATCCTCGTGATCGCGCGTAGGACTCCGGCGAGTGCTCCCAAGACTGTGGAATTCCACCTCGCATCTTGGACAAGAGCTAGTACTAATATTTTGTAAGTTTGAATTCTCAGGTTGATCAGCGATCCAACCCGACAACACCGGAAAGCATAGACGTTCGTACCCGTCGGCGCATGTGATTAGCTCGCCTTCCTGAGAGCACTCCCGAATGCTCTGAAAGATCTCCCCAAGGGCGCGATGCAGCGCCATTTGACTCTGACGTCGTAAAGCGGAATTAGCGAGTGAGTTCTTCCCGAGCTTAGGTGGGACTGGCAGTAGCCCTAGGAGAATTAACGAATGCCCGGTGGGCTTGCTCCGGACCGATGACTTGATGTTCCCGATGGTAAGATAGATTGGCCAGGCTTTCTTGTCCGCACTAAAATTTGTCAAATGTGTGCCATCTGACGCGCATATAATTGGTACCACAGTCGACCCCTCCGGTAAGGTATTCTGTACAGAAAGCATTAGCGACTGCCTCTAGAGCACTTGTGAGGCTTACCAGACCTGCGTCTCCCACCACCAATCTCCCGTATGCATTTCCCTGTACATTCTCTCGCCAGATTCATTATGCTCTACCACTGGCGTGTACACCAATGACTCCCGAAAGGCCCGTTGGCCTAGAAGATATCGCACAATTACCATTGCATCCCGGTAATAGTAAGGGATTTTCTCTCCCCCAATATCCACCTCCGAATGATGCCAGCTCGCCTTTCCCAATATGTCATTCATTTCGTCCAACCTCTTTATAAAACCTCGCCCAGTCCTGTAGGAGCATTCGCCACTGCTTGACGGAGCGTGTAGAAAGAAACTGTCGATATTTCCTTGTGAGGCCTTCGACAGTATGAAATAACGTGCCATTCTAAACTCGTATGCTGAGTTGAATGGGTGCCACGGGTATCGGAGAAGGTTTTGTGTGCATTCGTCATAGTCCTCCGAGCGGTAGAGACGCTCCCCAGCACCCTCGTAAATCGTTGTCGCTGGCCCATGCCTATTTGCATCTCCATCTGTCTCTTCCATCATAAAATATGATTCGGATTCCAGATCTGAATTATTATCTGGATCTTGGTCATGATAATTGATACTGTTGCTCTCCGAACTATCCGAGTCGTCATGGGCATCTGAATAGGAATCGTGAATGCCTTCCGGGCTGTCGTGAGTGTCATCGGGTGCCTCTTGATCGCGCTCCAGGAGTAAAAATTGGTTTCCCAGCCATTCATCTGCTTCAAATGGATGTGTAGTTCGAAGATGTTTATCGAAGTTCGCGGAGGAGCTGTACCGCTTGCTGCAAAAGGGGCAAGATGATTTCATTGAAGTCTCATGATGCTAGCAAAGCACTCCTGAGTGCTCTAAAAATTTGGTTTCTGCCAAGGCCGAGGAGGCTCTTTCCTGCAGGTGCTGCTGCAGAGTGCTCGAATGATTTGATTTGTCAGCCAATGAGGCTCCTCTCACCTGCACCCCGGTCGGCAAGGCTGATTTTCAATACGAGTCTGATGTCATACATCACCAACCTAATACAAACATCAACACCAACACGAAGAAACACCCACCACCCCAATCAGGTGGCCAGTTATGCTAGATTCTATCGCGCTGAGCATCTGCACTCTCTCCCTGAGCACTCGTGGAGTCTCTTCAGGTCGAGAGAGTGTTCTCAGCGCCAAATTCAACACTAATATCGACTACGAGCTCAAAGAATACATTCTCTCCGAATCAGCTTCCTAGAGAACAGAGTACCAACACCAACAAGAACACAAGCACCAACCCCAACACCAGAATGTTATCGATGTCACCATTGGTACCGTCAGAGCATCCCCGAGTGCGCCTGGAGCATTTAGATCAACGTCATATATTGAAGCAAACATTGAGTACGAGCACCCTCGAGTGCTTCTAGAGCATTCGTGGGTGCTCTCGGAAGCGTGATAAGCTCAAGAAAAAAGCTGATCGTACTCGGTATAAGAGCACCCCTCCCTTCCTTCAAGTTCGTGAGAAGTTCCTAACCACCTTCAAGTTCTCCTCTACCTATCACTTCAAGTTTCCCATTGCTTTCAACATTACCTGTTGAAATCTCATCCTTCAAGTTCCTCCGTTTTCAAGCGATTTAACCTTTGCAATCTTTATAAATAAGATGGTATTTCTCTCTCCTAATCCAATTAATTTTAGAACCATACTCACCACAGTGATACATTAACATTATCAGACTCCAAACACCGCTCAGAGCACTCCCGGTAGCTCACAGAACATAAATCAACTTCCCAATAAGAAGCGCTTGCGTGACATCGACGAAGACGATAACGAAAAGACCCACCGAAAAACCAAGAAACACAAATCGTCCCGAAAATATAAGAAACACCGAACTTCCTCAGGTCGCAAATCGTCCCGCAAAACTGTCAAGCCTATCCCGGAGGAGATACCAGAAACACCCCCTAAGCAGTCGCCAGTGCTTTCCGGGTTCACCCCGATCAACAAGAGCCGAAAACAAAACCCTGTACCTCCACCAATCCGGACTGAAACCCGGACTCCGCCAAATACTAACATAGCTCCATCGGACACTGAAGGGATCTTCCCGAGTAACTGGGGAGCAACCCTAACTGATTCCGACTCCTTTCACGACTTTAGTTCCGAACCCTCTGAACCATACATAAGTGACGATCAAGACCCAGCAACAGGTCCAGCAACAGGCCCACTAGCAGCAGTCTCCACTGCTTCCTCAGCACGCAGCAGTGCTTCACCAGAGGCCCTTGTACGGACGACCGTACTTAGGGTTAGTGCTACCCCACCAGCACCCGCTAGTGCTCCACAAAAGAACGTTGCCCGGAAGACTATAGTCCCAAGTCAAGTTCTCACTTGGTCCAAGTCTAGTGCAGTCCGCTCAACAGGCCCAGCAGCAACAGGCCCAGCAACAGGCCGCTCAACAGGCCCAGCAGGCTCTACTACTCCCTCACCAGCACCCGTCAGTGCTCCACCGAAGGTTCTTGCACCGGAGACCCCTACATTCAAGCCCCGACGCCCCTCTCGGTTATTTTCTAGTGCAAGCCCGTCCGAACTAATAGACCACCCCTCACCAGTACGACAGAGACGAATTAGACCCGAGCCATCGCCGATTGTCCAAGAGACATCCCCGAGTGTTCAAGAGACATCCCCGAGTATTCAAGAGACATCCCCGAGCTCGACCGCATTCAAGATGACTCAAGCAAGCAAAGCGAAGATGACTTTAGGTCTACTCAACCTACCTAGAGTGTACACCAGCATCCGCAACAGCCTAAAGGCGGAGATGCAAAATGTGGGTTGGGTCAATAAAAGCACGTCCGGTATGGCTGCGTTCAATGCCCTATGCCTTTACTTGATGAACTTGCCCTCCCTCAACGGTTTTCTGCCAATTTGGACTGGGGGTGACTCCGATGCCCGTAGAGCACTGGCGAGTGCTCTACAGTGGCTCATCGCAGATGTTGGTATGAAGGATAGATTATCAAGGGGACAGGGAGACCGTCAGTTCAAAGAGGCTGCCGGTGATAGTGATGATGATGATGACGGTGGTGGTCAGGCAGCCGGAAGACGCTCTCGCAAAGGGAAAGAGCGTGCAGTACCTCCGGAACTCGTGCGACCTTCCATAATGGTTACCGTGGTGGACCCCGATGCTCTAGGGGCATTCTTTATGCTCGTCCCACCACCTACTTATGACTGGAATGATCCCCTGAACGAACCTTCGTTCATCGGAATTTTGACCAAGATAACTTTCCCCGAGCTATGCAACTTGATCCTGAAGCACACCGCACCCGGCAGAGCAGTCAGGACTATGTGGGGGGCAATTGAGAATGTCCCCCCGGCAGCTGTTCCTCCCGTTCGGCCGGTGGAGGTACAAATTACCGATTCAGAGGAGCTCGAAGGTTGGTTGAAGAACAGCAATACCAGGCCTCGGAGGATATTGGCGGTCCTCCACAGAGCAGGCGCGGGTGCTAACCTGGGTGGTGCGGAATCCCCCCCGTTGAACCCAGCTTTCCCTCACGTTGAGTAAGATGATTATAGCATGATCGATATTCCTGCAGAGGATTCGGATTACGAGGAGGGAAAGCACCGGATAAATGCCAAAGGACTGAGGGTATATATGCCTAGAACTGATGCCAGTAATCAAAGGCTAATTCAGACTCTTGTTAGGCGTCGCGATAGACAGCAGGATGCTATCGACGATTTAGACCCCAAATACCTTAGGAAGTATCCTTTGGGTGTCGGGGTTGCTGACCCAAACTTCTTACAGGGGACGATATGGACACCTGCCGGGATAGCAGCCAAGAGAGCTGCTGACGCACTCGCGGCTGCTGGTGCTGGAGGTGGTGGTGGTGGTGGTGGAGGTGGTGGTGGAGGTGGTGGTGGTGGAGGTGGTGGTGGTGGTGGTGGTGGTGGTGGTGGTGGTCTAGGACCTCCACCGCCTCCGGGCGGACCTCCTCCTCCTCCGGGCGGCGGTGGTGGTGGAGGACCAGCTGGAGGCGGTGGTGGTGGTGGTGGTGGTGGGCCAGCCGGAGGCGGTGGTGATGGTGGTGGTGGGCCAGCTGGAGGCGGTGGTCATGGTGGTGGTGGGCCAGCTGGGGGCGGTGGTGATGGTGGTGGTGGTGATGGTGGTGATGGTGGTGGGCATCATTAGTTCCCTTTGGTATAATCTCTAACTTCCCTTCCTGCGGAATTGTCACTAACCTTTTAATAGTTGTTAGGATTACTCCCTGAGCACTCGCGATAGCTATTGAGGTGCGGTACGATTTGGTGTTTTGGATTTCCCTTTGTCTTGCGAGAGTATATCAATGGATGGGTTATATCGGATAGGATTAGATTAGATTAGAGTAGATTAGATTATTCCAGGTAGTAATTGCATTGCTTTTATTTCAAGGTCGAATCAAACTCCTAGATTGCTATCAGAGCACTCGGTACCGCTTCAGAAAGTGCAGTAAAACGAGTGATGATAAATGATGCGGTTGAGTGCAGAAATTGTGGTAACATAGGATGATCCCTGCCGTAAGAGGATTAACGGTGCAAATTTTTCTTGATTAGCGGCGCAAATTTTCTCGCCAAGAATTGATTTCTAATCGAAGATATCGCGAGTGCTCCTAGAGCACTGTGGATATTCCTGCCAGTCATCAGAATGGCTCCCACCAAGCGCTCCTCCGGTTCAGCACCTCTTGCCCCAAAGCGCCCACGACTCCCAAAACGACCTGAAGAACATGAAGATTTACTGACTGATGAGTCTGAAATATCTTACCGAACATTGACTCCACTGCCAGCCCGCACTCGGAGTAGTCATCGACCACCGCCACTCAAATAACTCGGAAAGGTCTTCTCCGTTTCTCCGAAACCTCCACTGGGAGGAGCAGTCCTAGGAGGGTAGAATTTCATCTCCCCGAGGATCATACTGATAATTTTGAAGCGCAGGAGGAGCCTGAGGCAATTGAGGCGCCAGAGGCAATTGAGGCGCCAGAGGTGGAAGAAATAGTTGATACTAGCCACTCAGACTATGATGATGCTCCGGAGAATGACCACGAGAGCTCTGAGGAGGATGAGGATGAACCGGAGGATGAACCTCAAGCCCCCCCCCATCTTACACCCAGAAGTCTCAGACTGTCGGAAAGAGACCTCATACAGTTCAGCCGACTACTGCCAGAGCACTGGGCAATGCTCGGAGGAAACCAACTGACGCGGTAGCGGAGGTCATTGCTTCTTCCAACGTGTAGGTGGACGTGGTACAGGTTCGACTCTATCTCGCTCATTGATGCTTTTTAACATGTAAGTATTAGTGGCTAACGATTCAGAGGGGAACTCGACCGGGCGCGAAAGTAATACGTAAACAAGGTCAAGGGAGAACAGCACCCACTTCAGCACCCAGCCAGAATGCATCCCAGAGAGCACTCCCGGCATCCCAGAGAGCACCCCCAACACCCTCACAGTCTAGGCCCTCTGCACCTGTTTATGCTCATGAGTATACCTCTTCTACGAGCCATATCGATTTTTCTTCGATGCGCTCTCGATACGGGGAGTCGTCCCCCACTTACCGGACATATCGTTCTTCACCGCCTAGCGAGGTAATTGGCGAGAACTCTGCGAGCAGTCGTCAGATTCCTTCAAGCCAACTTCACGGTCAAGGTAGATCGCGAAGAGTCTACGAAATCGAGTACCTTTCCTCATCTGGGGGGGGACGAGAGTACTCCGATGCCGGAAAGCGAGGGTATTTTGATTCCGGGAAGCGAGGTTAGTATTCCGGAGGACGCTCACGACGTCGTTGAGAACACTGGCGACATTCCTTCGAGCCAATTGACTCGGAGGTCTGTGGTCCCTAACTCTAGGAGTGCAAATGTGCTGTCAGTGCAGGCTCAGAGGATTGAGAAGGAGTGTAGCGTGTTAATCGGGGAGCATACTCTTCTACATGAGCCCTTCCCGCCTGCAGCAAGACTTTCGGTACTGGTAGTGAGCATGTGGGCAACTGCTAGTCGCCGGGTGGGGTGTAGAGTAGACCTTGATGAGGTCGTTATTAAACAGGTGAGTGCCCCCAAAAGGATTACGAGTGCTCTGGAAGCATAATTGAGAATGATAGGTCAGAAGTCTGCACTCCCGTGTCCGTTCCCACTTGATGCACGAGGTGAAAGGGCGCCTGGCGGACTCTACGATATACGGGCTTGGAAATTTTGTGGGGCCTGAGGCGAGGGCGGCTCAAGTGGAATACCTTTTGAAGAATGATCGTTTCTTGAGCCCCCAACAGCATTACGAGGTATGATGCCAGTGGATGCCCAGAGAGCACTCGGGATAGCCGGTAACAGATTCTAGACCTACCGACTGCGCTTCCTGGCTCCGGAAATTATCGATTTATTGTATTTTAAATACTTCGATGGGGTAAGAATGCGAGGGGTTAGGGATCCTGAATTTTAGAGCGGATAACCCCTACCCTTATTTGCCTGATATCGACGGCGATCTGGCACGGCATTCGGGCGTGGTCAACAGGGAGTTACGTGAAGCCTGATAATTTTCAGTCGCAGAATGAGAGTGTTGTGAGTAAGTATGGCCCGATGCCCTCATTGATATGGCGAGTGCCTTGGGAGCAATGACGGATGCTCCTAGGGCTATACGGGATTGCCAAGCTGACATCCAAAGACGAGTAGAAACGTTCAACAGGATGAGCAACACTTGGAAGGGGAGAAGTAAACAGAACCAGGAGGCAATCTTGAAGGTAATCGAAGATAACCTTCGAGAAAAGGAATGATACTTCTAGATGCCAGTAATGCGAGTGGTATTCTAAATGCTAACCCTAATAGATACGAGATAAAAAAGGGGTAACGATTGAGATTATACCGGAGGAGGGTTTTAGCGAGGACGATGAAGTTCTGGCTGCGGATCTTGCCGCATTCCGAGATGCTCGGAGAACACCCACGAGTGCTCCAGGAGGTCGGGTTGATTCCGACAGCGCCCAGGACGAAGTGATTAATGCCCGACTTCGCGGCATTGACACCGAAGGGGAGGGGGAGGAGGAAGAAGAATAGCCGGAATTACCTGTAGCGGTGGATTACGAAGGGGGGGGAGAGGAGGATGTGTAGAACAATCACGAGTGCTAAGGGAGATAGTGGGGGATTTCTTCTGATTCGTATATTGTATTAGGGTTAGATAGGGTGTTAAATGGCGTATTGTATTTAGTATTAGGCGGAGTATCACGGTGTTGAATACACCAATTCTCAAAGTGCAGTCGCGAGTGCTCTGGAGACAGTAGAGATCGTCGTGCGAGTGATGTTTTTGTAATCTCATGGGGGAATTGTGAATACCAGTGGCCGGAACGGCGGAGAGGTGCATGCCTAGAGAGAACGGGGCGCCGACATGTAGGAATCGGTACGTCGGGCATGAGCCAGATTTCAAAGCACCCCATCTGGCAACGTCAGGGGGAGTCAGGGCAATTATTCTATCCCCAGAGCCCGCTGGAGCAGTGAAGAGTGCTCCAGGAGCAGGCAGGATGTCCAACCGTGCAACTGGCGTTCTCTGGCGGGTAGAGTGACGTCCTAGTTACACCGGGCGCTATTATTTAGTGTCGGGGCCCGTTGTGCGGACTAGTGTGCGCTGGGGCGGAATAATGTGCGCCAGACCTCGCCAGGAGCACTGGCGGTATCTCTGGAGAGGTAGTTTACCTACCGAGCGCCCTGAGCGCCCTGAGCACCCCGGGCGTCTGGCGAAGGCTACAGGTTTGCTGATGTACTGGTTCGTGGGAACTCTACCCCCAAGAACTCCAGCCCCCTCCCCGCTTCACTGAAACCCAACAGACTGAATGAACCCAGTCCACCACAATCGAACAAACCCAGTTAGGCAACGAACCATTCTCCATTTTTGCAGAACACACACAATACAATGAACCATATGCTCCTGATTTGGTTACATCCACCCAAGCATTATGCCCCAAGAACTACACACTGGAATGGACCTTAACTACGTCTTATGGGTAGTCAGAAACGCCCTCACTATCGCCATTAAACCAATCAAACAAAGGACAAACCAAACCAACCAACACAACAATGCTAGTAAAGAACCTTTTTTTCAACAAAACGAGGCACTCAAACAAACCATCGACATACTAGCAAGACAAATGTTTGAACTCACTGAGAACTTGGACAAGATGAATGAAAAACTCCACCGACTCCAACACCAGACCTCGCTAGTTAACCAACACTGACACAGCCCCCCCAACCCCAACTCACCCCAAAACAACTACAACAACAACAATAACAACAACAACAACAACGCTCTGATCGCCAAACAAACCAACCCACTATACAAAAGAAAAAAACCTGAAGGATCTACCACTAAGGCTTAACCCAACCGGGGGAACAAAATGAAATCATATGCCGCCGTTGCCACCGAAAACACAGGATCTGACTTTACCACTGTCACAAATAAAAAGAAACAGAAACCCAAACCTGACCCTCTCTTCAAACTTGAAATCACAAAGCTCAATAGGGAAATTGTGATTGAGATAAGCAGAAACCCGCTAACCACCCCCTTCAACATCAGAACCAATATCAACTCGAAGATCCAGGAACCAGACTCCACTTCATAGCCACCAGGAAGACAAACAAGAACATCTACATACTGGAAACAAAATTCGGAACCCCAGCCAGCAAAGCCTTGAATACAAAAAAGATATCAAATCCGACCTCAAGGAGCTAAAGGTACCATTCATCAACATCAGGATTAATTCCAGATGGTACAAGTTCATCATACATAGCATCTGTAACGGGGGCAGCCTATCTATGTATCGCTAGAATCCAATAGAATAGATGCGGCCGTGCAAGATAGAAATCAGGTGCAGATTTATTCAAAGATACTATCGCTAGAACTCAATAATCTTTAAGGGCTCTGCTACCGATAATGGTCTACTCGATGATGAGGATCAGGTCAGTTGGGCGGGAATGATCCTGAGTACTTATACTCCAAAGGATTCTATTCTCTGCTCCTACTTCCTTACTAAGTTCCGGTGCTGCCTCCTAGTGGAAGGGAAGCAATACCATCGCTACCCCGCTTCTCTCTAAGCGTCAGCGAGTGCTTCCGATTCCGAAGGCAACCACCCTTAGTCAAAGTCTTTGTAACACCTGCAGCCTTTGTTGCCACACAACTAGGGGCCTGCATGAATGAGCTGCCGCTCAGGTGTAAGCTTAATCATTGCTGTAGAGCTTCCGCTTATTGTAGACTTCCCAGGCATAGTCTCTTCCACTGCTGGCGGACTTCCAATGCTCAGAGGATGTGGAGGATCGCTGAGCACTCAGAGCTTCACTCTGGCTAGCCTTCTAATCATTGGCGAGGCACAGACTCGTCAGTCATTGCTCCCATGAGTAGATCCTCTTCCTAGCGCTCAGAATGTAGTTACTCTGACAGTTGGTAGCTAACCACACTGCCGGTACTTGCATGTCACTGTGCAACTGGCTTCTAACAATAACTCTCAGCATGTAACCGGGCCCTGTGTGTACTCATACACCAGACAGTTGAAATGGCTCCATTACACTACTCCCCTCTTCCAGGATCTTGGTCTCCGAGATCTATAATCTATATCTATTTATCTATGCAATACTTATATGACAAGGAAACTCCTTTGGTGTGGAAGGGGACGAGAATGTTAAAGGAAATGCTACTGGCCTAGAGCCCTCTTATCTCTGGGCTTCTTAGGGTACCTCATATGGAAATCCCGGAGGGCTTCTTCAGCACTCTTCCTGAGATGTTCCCAGGGTTCCCATGTAGCGTCCTCATTCTCATATCCTTCCCACAGCACCAGGTATTCCACCCTTCTCCTCTTCTTATTGACTCGGCTATCAGCTACTTCCCGGACGATCCAGTTTTGTTCTCCTGTAATCTCCTCAGGTTCCGGTGGGGGAACTCTTCTCTCAGGATCTATTGGTGCTCTATAGGGTTCTAGGAGAGAGACATGGAAGACAGGGTGGATTCCCATTTGCGGGGGAAGAGAGAGCTTGTAGGCACGGGTACCAATAGCTTCTAAGACCTTGAAGGGTCCCATCTTCTTCTGATCCAATTTTCCCAATGGCCGCTTTGTTTGCACATTGCGCCGGTCTAACATAACTTCATCTCCAGGCTTGATTTCAGGCGGTGCCAGGGCATGTGCATCGTACCACCGGGCCATCCTTAGTCTAGCCTTTCCCAAGCTTGCGTTCATAGCCTGCCAGATAGATTCCCATTGAGATACCATGACCTCGCTTGCTGGATTATTCCATTCAACACCTTCCTTTGGGGCCGGCCAGTTGGTTCTGGGTTCATATCCATAGTTGGCATAGAAAGCCGATACTTTGGTAGACTCAGAAACCGCCGAGTTATATGCATACTCTGCCAAAGGCAAGAGGTCTGCCCAGTCATCCTGTTGATATGAACAATAACTCCGCAAGTAATGCTCCAGGGTCTGGTTAACTCTTTCTGTTTGGCCGTCCGTTTGGGGATGGAAAGAAGTGGACATCTTCAGCTTCACATTGAGGAGGCTCATGAGAGATTGCCAAAAATGAGAAATGAACCTGCTATCTCTGTCCGAGACTATGTCATCAGGTAACCCATGGAGTCTCCAGACTTCCTTCAAGAACAACTTAGCCTAATCTTCCGTTTTGTTGAGTGTAGGAAGTGGGATGTAATGTGCCATCTTTGAGAAGCGGTCCACTATTACCCAGATCTTTGTAAACCCATTGGATTCCGGTAATCCCACAATAAAGTCCATAGAGATGGAAGTCCATGGCCGATAAGGTATCTCCAGTGGTTGGAGCATACCGAACTTCTTATGTCTTGAGGTCTTATTCCTCTGGCAGCTGTCGCAGCTCCGGACATATTCCTCAACATCTTTATCCATGTTGGGCCAAAAGAAGTTGTTTTTTACCCGCTCTAATGTCTTGAACTGACCGAAATGGCCCGCCACTTTAGAGTCATGGGTATCGGTCAGGATATCCATCTGGAGCTTCTTGTCTTTGGGAATATACCATCGATTCTTGTAGAAGATGAGGCCGTCCTTGACAGACAAGTTCTGGTCCAAGTTTGGTTTCCTTTCAACCAGGGAGCGGTGCAGTTCCTGCCAGATTCCATCCTCTTTAGCTGCCATACATAGGCGCTCTAAGAATGTGTTCTGCAATTGATTCACCCTGACAGCCGCTAGCTTAACAGGATCCAAAACCAATTGTCCTGCCCTAAAAAACATCTGTGGCTCCGGCCGCAAGGTTTCACTCCCCTCTTCAGGGCGGTGATCCCAACGCCTTGATA